CACAGACAGCCTCTCGACAATATGCGTTTTTGCTGGCTGCGCTGCACAGCAAAAACGCATAATAAAGGGTGCACAACGCGCAATGCAGTAAGGGGACAAAACTTAACGAATACTAAGTAAATGCAGCATATTTTATAAAACTGGTCTGTTGTACTGATCGGGAACAGCGCAAAACAAAGTGGAAATTGTGGAATAGTACGTCTAGATGACTCTCGACAAAAGCCGATAGGAATATTTCCTATCACCGTGGCTGTCAGCAGTTGATGTCACTAAATGCGCAATAAAATTGCTCTGACAAGATAATTCTCTTCCTCTTCATATTCATTTCGTCTAGTTTCGATAAAGGGTTTCCGTATTTTCCGCATTCAGCAATTAGGATCTCAAGCGATATTTTGAGAAACCATTATGCCATCGACGCATATTTGGCTTTGATTGCATGTAGCTGCTGCTTCTTAGCGTCATCCACTTGACACTTTTACAGCGATGCTGCAGCAAATTTTTCACATTCTGCAATAACAGCTGCTGTGAAGTGAAACTGTTCAAAATATAATTGCTTTGTTGCAGATCGATGAATTATGGTGCTATAGGCGCCGTTATCGGACATGAAATTACCCATGGCTTTGATGACACTGGTAATTCTTTTTTTTTTTTAACGAACGAAGGAACGAAGTAGGCAGGAAGAAGGAATGTGCAATGAACTCAGTTACGACCTTTCATGGGATGACTTTTTTTTGTTATTTTTTGCTGATAAGAATAAGCCAGTTTCTTGAAGACAGAAGTTAATGTTTCAAACTGCCACTAAAACTGCGAGGTTGTCGGCGTGGAACTCTTTATGTCACTATGGCGAACAAGACTCATTTGTGCTAAGCTTCCCCTCGTCGAAACACTACTTTTTAGACTGAATAATAGAGCTTTATTTCCGTTTCTACAGGTAGACGGTACAATGCTGTTGGCGAACTGGACGACTGGTGGGATAACAAGACACTGGGTCAGTTTATGGAACTCAAAAAATGTTTCGTTGAACAGTATGGTTCGATTGTTGAACCCGGTACTGGCGGCCTGAAAGTTTGTTCATTTTATTATAAATCTTTCAATGAATTAAAATAAGCGATGGCGTACAAAAATTGGTGCGAACTTAAATTTTATGCAATTCTGTTCAGCAGCCGTTTATTTTTAATAATATGAGCGAAAAATGGTAAAACGTTGCTTGGTTCCTGAAATTTTCTACCAAAAATTTCACTGCTCAGGACAGGCGCATGTGAAAACTGAACTTTAATTTTGAAATTGCACATGGACTGGAAACATTCTCTTGGAATTTCAGCCTTCTGTGTTGCCAGATTCCCAAGTCGAAAGGTTTCCCGCCAAAATCTCACATATCTGTGCGTGTGCTAGGCGTACTCGGAACTACATTCAAATTTCTACAGAAGCATCCTTGCAAAATTTTAGTTTTCTATCTTGTCTGGTCCCTGAGCTGGAAGGAACCAATAGTTTCCGTTGCGAGCTCTCATGAGTGAAAAGCAAACGTGCATAGGTGTTGAATCTAAAATTCTCGAAGATGCGTATAGACAAGAAGTATCCTCCTAAACTTCAGGAACTGCTAAAACATAAGTTGACCTGACTGGGAGGCGGGATGCAGCGACTAAAAAATGGGGAGGGGTGCGGAGCGGTGGGGGCGGAGTAGGGAGAGGAAAGGAGGCGGCGGTTTTAGGATTGGGAGTTGTAACGGAGGGAGGAGGCGGGGTTACTGACTGGAAAGGATATATTAGACAAACTGAAGTGCTGTACGGGTGGTGTTATTAAGGCAGTGTATCCCACGGGAAGTCGTGCACGTCATGTGGTGAGAATGAAGGAAAACAAGTAGAAAAAGAGGATTCTTAAATAGTACGATACTTGGATTCCTTGGAAAGATGCTTGGAATCATGCGTTTTTGCACTGTTTCGTGCTTTAATAAGATGCTTAGAATCCCAGTAGTTAGAAATTGTGACATACTAGTCTTTGAAGTCCGCGAAGTTAGTGTGCAACTATGTGGTGTGTCAGTTGTCGATGTCGGCTTCAGTGACCGAAAAACAGAAAGTTGGTAGTGCGCGAAAAGATCCCACAACGAGCATAAATCATTTCCTGTAAGCACTGCTTTTGCTGCAGCGAAAGCAAATATCGTTAGTATTATGGTATAATGCAAATTTGCATAGTCGTAGGGAGCTTAGCCTATATATAGTATGATGTGAAGTGCAGGAAATTCTCAGGTACGAGCACTTGAAAATTTTTAGGGAAAAATTACTGACTCGGGAACTGGAAAAGCTCGGAAAACGAAATCTTCTTAACAGTTTTCTCGATAAAACTTCACGCGTTCGTGCGTGAGTAAGGAACATTCTTTTAAAATTCCAACCTTCTAACTTTCCTGGTTCTCGAGTTAACAGTTTTGTATAAAAACTTTCGCTTGCTCGTAGATAAAACGCAGACTGTATGAAAGTTGATGTCAAGTTCCTAGGGACGCACTTGGCCAGGGAACATACTGGCAAAATTTCGGCATCAAAGCTTCAGTGGT